GTATCAAAAAAAAAAAAAAAAAGGTTAGACTACGTTAGAGTGACGTCATTGGGTTGAACCAGGACAACAAGCAGAGGGGAAGGGAAGGAAGAAAGGTTTTCCATTGCTTGTATTTCTTGGAGTTCAGGCAGAGGTTGGAGGCCCTTCTGTGGCTGCTGATTCGGAATATATGCTCGAACCAAATGCTTCTACTTCACCAGAAGTCGTTGCTGGAAACACTTACCTGGGGTGGTTTGAAGGGCGTGCCACCCCATCACGGCTGCCATTGTGCGCAGACCTTTGGAGGAGCAGCCATTGATCGCTCTGGGTGTTTTCTGTACGCGCATTGCTTCATTCCTCTGGGTCGTCTGGGATTTATATCCACCTCAGGACATTCTGTTGGGAAGCTGCAGATCAGGATGACATTGTCTTGGGCCCCGGAGGCCGGGACAGAGCCCTCTCAGGGGCTCCTCCGCGCTGTGGAAGGGGCATCGGCATGGGGCCAGTCCAGAGTCCATAGGGAAGGAGGGGCAGGGGGGAAGCCAGAGATGCAAGCAGGTGGCCTGGCCCGGGGGGGGGCTCTGTCGCTGCTCAGCCTCGGGCGGCACAGGGCTCTCGTCCCTGAAGAAGCCTGGCCTAGAAGCAGGGCGAGCAGAGGGTCTCCCAGGGGCCTTTACCCCACTGCAGCTTCATGGTGGGTGTGGAGCTGGCTCCTGGCAGATCCTGGGCTGGGTTCCCTGGACGTTTACATTCTAGGGCCCCTTCCAGGAATCCCATCCCTTTCCTTCTCCGGCTGCTTCCCTGATGCTCCCTGTTCCCTCCTGCCCCACACGGAGACGTCCTTCACTGTCTGTGTTGGTCCTGTCTCCTTCGGCCATCTCATCTCCCCCGGCTGCTTCCGCCGCCAACAATTCACTCGTGAATGTGAGCCTTTTCCTCACGTATCCTAGCCACCTGTCTCCTCCTTGTCTAGCGGGATGCATCGTTCACTCGTGGGTTCGACAAACACTTTCTGCAGGCAGCTCCAGAGCACGTAGCCGGCACGCGGTGGGCACGCGAAGGTAGCTGCCCAGAGTGAGAGCTCAGCAGTACTTGGTTGTTAGAAATCGCTTGCTTATTCTTCAGCAACTTTTCACTGCACATCTGCCATCTGCCCCATCCTGGGCTAAGCCCAGGGTCCGTGACATGAGGTTCCAGCCCTCGGGGAACTGATGGGCTATAGGAGGAAACGGACACTCAGGGCTTGATTATATACTAGTCAGAAACACAGGCAGTAATTAGAGAGGCTGAGCAGAGGACAGAGGGGTCTGTATGGTTGTCGCAGTCTGGGAGGACTTCCTGGAGGGGCTGGTGTTTGACGGGATCTTGCAGGTCAGCTGGAAAGGAAGGCATTCCAGGCAGGTGGCCGGAGGTGCAGGTGAGGGAGCCAAGGGGGTCAGTGGTAACGGGTTTGCTCAAGAGTATTTCATCACGAGTTGCGGGCTCCTGTGTTTGCAGCGGCTGTCTTGTCGAGGAGGGTAGTGCAGGGCGAGCTAGATCCTGACCAAGCACCCAGGCCTCAGGCCACCCACCTGATTTTCCACGCAGCTCCTCGGGATCGTTCGGTTGGAGAGCAAACTGCTGGCTTTGCCCAGGGCCCAGCACCATCACGCAGCCCGTCTCTGGCAGCCCCCCTGTGTCAGTCTCATTAAACTTGGGGTGACCTAAGGAACAGCAGTGGGAACCCCAGCTGTTGAGACAGGAGGACAGAAGACTCTGGGAGGTGTGGCGGCCGTCTCAGGGAAGGGCCCTGGAGACTTGGAACCAGGACCAGTGAGCCACACCTCTAAGACACAGACATGGGCTGGAGCTCAGGGAGCTCGCTGTCCCCACAGGTCACGTGACCCCACTTGCTGGAGAAGCTGCAGGGTGGAAGGAGTTTGAAATAGACCCCCCTTCCCACCCCAAGTCTGGGATCCTTGGACTGAGCACCTGAGAGAATCTTGGCTTGTCCTTCTGACCAGTCGGCCACGGGACCTTGGGGGATCTAAATTAGAGACCCAGCCTCGCGATTTAAAGTGTCTAAATTAGAGACCCAGCCTCGCGATTTAAAGTGTCTAATTTAGAGACCCAGCCTCGCGATTTAAAGCGAAATGATCAGTAATGAAGACTGAGATGGGAAGGCTCTCTTCCCTCTTCTTGGAGGAGCCAGAAACATCAGGTTGCCAGAATTCCTTCCGTCTCTAAGGCTTCCCAGTTGGCCGACGTGTGCCTGGACACAGACCGGTCCTCATCCTGCTCCCTCCTGCTCGCTGCTCCAGATCCTAAGGGAAGGCCTCGGTGGTGACTGAGGCAGGAGGGACACTCCACGGGGCCGAGGCGGTGACACACCCCTGCCTGCTCCCCCCACTCCAGAAGGGGCGCAGCTGCTCCAGCTGCAGAGGAGACTCTGGGATGTGAGAAGAGTCATCTGCGGTCATGGGCAGATCATGGTAGAGCTGGGACCAAGAGCAGATCTCCCAGCTCTTGGTCCGGTGGTCTTTGCGCACCCCGTGCCGACTCCCCATTTCTCCCCCAGTCGCTCGGTCTCAGTGGGGGGCTGGAGGTTTGAGAAACTGGATTCTTACTCCTTGCCATAGAAGACTGGATGTTCTGCTGCCTCCCCACCGGCTAAGCCTAGAACTAGGTCAGCACTGAGGGGCTTCCCTCCTCATCCTCAGAGGCTGGTCCTCCTGCCCCCAGGAACAAAGCAGGACTCCTTGATTTTGTGTGCTTCTTGCCTGCTTCTTGCCTTCTTCTGCCCCTACCCCTCTCTCCCTGGGAAGAGGCCCCAAGCGCACAGGGTAGGAATAGAGGACAGAGCTGGGGGCTAGAGGCCGTGCTTTGTCACTAACTAGCACACATTCCCTGCTCTCTCTGGTGTGAGTTTCCCCCCAGTTAAAACTCGGAGCTTGGGCTCATCCCTACAACCCTCGGTCTCTGCAACACGGAGCTCCCCGTGCAGCCCAGCCCCTATTGCTATGCGGGGTGGTCCCAATCCCAGGCCGGATGCCAGAGGACACTCCAAGGGTCCATGGGGTCATGGGATGGGGCCCAGAGATCAGTGCAGGGGCAGGAGGGGCAGGGGCTGCCCCCCAGTCTGGCCTCCAGGAAATTGCATAACAGAGATGTTTATTTTTGGTGAGGCTGGGTGGGATTTCTTCTCTTAAAAAAAAACCCAAAACATAAAACTTGTTTGTCTGCCAGCAAGATAAATATCTCTGCTGAAAGCCCTTGGCCCGGCTGCCATCTGCAGTTTGCATAACGTTGTCACCGAAGCCGCGGCGGTCTGCGTGTGCCCAGGGCTCACGTGGGTGTCCTGCACGTGGCCCCTCCTGATGCCTTGTGCATGTCCGCCCGCTCCAGGCAGTCACCTCCACCCCCTTCGTCGGGGCCATGGAGAGAGACGTGGGGATGGCAGGCAGCTATCCCTTGCGCGTTTCCAGGGTACACGCAGAGCTAGGGAGGAGAGCGAGCCCAAGGCCTCAGCCACCAGGATGCGGACGGAGCCGGGAGACCTGAGCCAGCGGCATCGTCCCGACACCTCACGCCCGCCGCGTGGACCTGTTCCTAGAAGAGGTGCTCACACCAAACACGCGTCAGAGCTTGGATGTGTGCAAGCCTTCTCCAGGGCTCCCCGGAAGCCTTATTAATAATCGTCGGTACATTACCGCGCGGGCCGGGGAGGGCGGCGCAGAGAAGGGCTCACACCGGTCTCCCGACACCAGGCCAGGGCCTGCACCTGCTCCTGCACCTAGATGCTCTGGGGAGGGCCCGCCCGCTGGGAAGACTTCTCCGGGGTCAGCGTCCTCTGCTGCTCGGAAGTCCATACTGGAACTGGGGATACCAATACGGGCAGAAACTTATGGAGCCAGCGCCGTGCTAAGGGCTTTGCCTGTTGGCCTCCCTTAATCCCACAGTATGCCAGGAGGAAGAGCCCACAAGTATCTTCATCCCCATTTTATATAGTGAGGAAACTGAGGCACAAAGAGGTTAAGTGAACTGTCCCAAGTACACAGCCAGAGCGAGGTACATGTGGGAGTCATACCTTCCTCCACTAGCTCCAGAGTCCACGTTCTAACCTTGACTCTGAGGCAAGTGTGTCTGCCCAGGGTGCTAACTGGGCCATTTGGATATGGACAGGTCACTCCCTGCCCCACTCTCCCCCTGCTGGCCTCCACCTCCTCATCCCTGACTTACACAGATCCACTGGTCCTTTCCAGCTCTGGGCATCTAGGAATCAATCAGTGGAGCCCCATCCTGGCGGATGGCGGTGGCTGTGGGCCCAGGCCTCGAGCTTAGTGTGAATCTAGTGGGGCACACACGGCAGCATCCTGGGGACACAGGCGCCCGCCTTGCTTCCTTAGTAAATGTGCCACTTGCCTGGAGCAGGCCAGACCCTGCGTGGACAGTAGGTGAAACCTGTGGAGGGTGAGGGGCGTGACCCCTCATGCTGGGTTCTTCGGGGCGGCGTGGGGGGATCTCCTCAGCTCCTGCTGAGCCCAAACAGAACCAGGCCTGGATAGGAAGGGCATTCCTGTCTGCCTTGACGCTGGCCTCCTCTTTCCCCTGCCCTGTTGGGCCAGACATGGCTGCTGAATTAGGTTTCCCTTCCCCTGGGTGTCTGAGGCACTGGGTCAGGATTCCTGATGTCCAAAGCAGAAGTTCTGACAAAGGGGATCCTTCTAGAAGGAGGAGCCCAGGATCAGTGGGGACGGGGGTTAAAGGTCCAAGAGATCAGATTGACTGACCCAGAGTTGTACTACGTTGGTGGTGAAAGGGCTCCATTCTGAAATGATGGCAACGAGGCTCAGAGAGGGAAATGGACTTGCCCAAGGTCACACAGCACGTTAATGGCAAGGCAGGACTAGAACCGGGGCCTCCTGCCCTCGCATCCAGCGTGATGCTGACAGCGGAATGGCAGGGGAGGGCTCTCCCTGTCCCCCCCTCCTCTCTTGCTTGGTTCAGTCATTGTTCTCTGACGTTGTTTCCTCCCCCTTCAGCCAAAGAGAGCTCCCTGGGTGAGCCGGAGTTGCCGCCAGACTCTGACACCGTGGGGATGGACAGCAGCTACCTCAGTGTGAAGGAGGCTGGAGTGAAGGCACCCCAGGACAGGGCCAGCGCCGAGCTGCCCAGCCCGCTGGAGAAGGCCGACTCCGAGAGCAACAAGGGCAAGAAGCGGAGGAACCGAACCACCTTCACCAGCTACCAGTTGGAGGAGCTGGAGAAGGTCTTCCAGAAGACCCACTACCCCGACGTGTATGCCCGGGAGCAGCTGGCCATGAGGACAGACCTCACCGAGGCCCGCGTGCAGGTCAGTGAGGGTGCCTGGGGAGAGGCTGGGAGAGCAGGGCCTGCCCTCGGGCTGGTGGCCAAAGCTGGGACTGCCTGACTGTGCCTCAAGCGCACCAGGGCTTTCTTCACTTCAGTCCAAGGACAGCCTGCCCCGCACACCCCTGCTCCAAACAGGGCCAGTCTGCTTTTATCCACCTGACTATCAGGCCTCCTGCTCTGGCGGGAGCAGGGGCAGAAGAAGGAGGGTCCCCTGTTAGCTGTATTCCTGGGCTCTGTGTGCTGTGAGTGTCCTGGCCCTTTCACGAAGGAGATGACTCGTCTACTGCCCTCGAAGGCCTATCTCTTAGGAAGGAAACAGGATAGTCCTAAAGACATCCACAGCAGTCCAATGGGCAGAAAGAGAGAACAACCCGGCTCTTCTTTCTGCCCAGGATAGCTGCCTCCTCCATCTTTCAACTCCCAAATCAATATACCTCCTTTGTGAAGTCTTCCTGACCACTGTGGCTAAAGCAGTAGCCCCCTGCCACTATCCAGCCACCAGAACACCCAACCCAACACAACATAACCCAAACCAACACAGCCAACCCAACACAGTCAACCCAACCCAACACAGCTCAACACAACCAGACAGAACCCAACCCAATGTAACATAACCCAAACCAACAAAGCCAACCCAGCACAACCCAACACAGCCCAAACAACACAGTCAACCCAGCCCAACATGGCTCAACACAACCCAACAGAACCCATCCCAAGGCAGCATAACCCAAACCAACACAACCCAACACAACTCAAGCAACACAGTCAACCCAACCCAACACAGTTCAACATAACCGAAAAGAACCCAACCCAACACAACATAACCCAAAGCAACACAGCCAACCCAACACAACCCAACACAGCCCCAACAACACAGTCAACCCAACCCAACATGGCTCAACACAACCCAACAGAACCCAACCCAACGCAACATAACCCAAACCAACACAGCCAACACAACACAACACAACTCATCCCAAACCAACATAACACAACACAAGCAAATCAGGTCACCTTCTTCCACATTGTCCTGTTTTTTCTTCTTTATGGAATGTATGACTGGCTTAAATTATTTTGTCTTTCTCTTCTCACTATAATGTGAGTTCCTTGAAGACAGGTGCTGTCTGATTGTTCATCACTATATTCCTTCCAGTTAGAGAAGGCTGAACTCAGAGCCACAAGGGCAAAAAATAAGTATTTGTAGATTGGTGGACCTCCTTTGTCCAGAGAGGTGTGTCCTCCCTCCTCGCATGAAGTTACAGCAAGAAAAGAACCAGAGAGGAAGCAAAGACCTTTGAGTACCCAAAACACAGGAGACAAAATCCATGCACTAAAGCTCAGGCTTCAGCTTCACACAAATAAATGTCATGCTCGGTCTACTTTTCCACCCCAGAGCATGTGAGGAATGGCAAATAGAGTGCTGTCAGATAGCGGTTTTTCCCCCTCCAGTGGGGTGAGGGAAGTCAACAGCTTGAGAGCAAAGAGCAGTTCTTGGGTTTTTTTTTTTTTTTTTTTTAAAGCAACACAGCTCAGCTGGGCTAAGCTCAGCTCAGAAGTGGGTTCAGGGCCAGGACAGAGCCTTCCGTTATCCGCAGTTCCCTAGGGCGCCCCCTGCCGCCTCACTTCACTAAGGAACCTTCAGCAGAGCATTCCTAAGGCATCAGTCACAACCATGTTCTGCGTAACAAGGCAGAGCTTCTGTAACATCGTCCAGAAACGTATTCATTCAAAATGGATCATGCAGGAAAGGACCAGCAATTACCATAAATATGCAGCCGTCCAGAAACTGCAGGTACCCAGAGTGAACAGTCGGATTGTTTGGCCACAAGTTCCCGGGGTCCGGCTGCCCCTCTTATTCCTGCCCAGTGCCTGGTGAACGGTTGGGGAAGGAAGGCAGGGCAGGTGAGGCTTTCCTGTCATTCCACAAGCATTCACACACCAACTGTCTTATTTGCATCAGGATAGGCTGCCATGTGACCTCCTGGGCCTCAGAGTCTGGGCAGGAACCCCAGAACCTGGCCTCGGCCCAGCCCCTGGATTGGGAGGAACTGAAGGAGCCGGTGGAGAAGGGGGCGGCAGGTTATGGGACATTCCTGTAGGCACCGTGTTCATGTGGGATCGACTGATCCATCCTCTGCACAGTGTGTGTGTGTGTGTGTGTGTGTTCCTTACAAGTGCATGGGAGTGCCCAGGAGTAGAATTCACTTAGTATTAAAAGAAGGATGGCTCTTCTGGGACAAATCATGGAAATGACACTGGGCCATAGAGAACATTTTTCAGGTGCCATCGCACAACCAAAGCAGAATGGTCCCTCTGCGTGTGCACACACACCCATTTATGCCTGCTTCCAAAATAGAGTTGAGGCAGCTACAATTAAAGACTGACTTGTTAGTTTCATCTAAAAACAAGAACGGTGCCATGAAATAGGCAGGTAATTACGTCAAACATCTAGATTAATAATCATGGTTGCCACTGGGCACAAATTTCAACCCTGAGCTTCCCGGCAGCCAAGGCAGAAAGGGAAACGCTGATGTGTTTGCATATCTTCTCATCTAAGGGGAGGATCATAGGAATATAGAACATTAGTGCTGGAAAGGATCATCTATCTGGTCCTCTCATTTGATAATAAGTAGGAGGAGGCCCAGAGGTGGGACATGATCACCTGTGGCCAGGTGACTCAGGAACAGTGACTCAGGGGCAGGGCCAAGACTAGAATCCAGGACTCCGGAGCTCCAGCCCAGTGTTTCTTTTACTTTAGTTGGCTCTGTCAGGACATGGGCCATATTGTTCTGAGACTTTTCTTTGTATAAAGGCAGCAGGGTGGGTGGGATCTCCATGTGCGTCAGACCTCTGGATCGAGCCTGGCAGTGCCCCGAGGTTTGGGGGGAGTGGTGGTGGAACCCCCTGCCTGCCCCTGCTGGGTTTGTTCAGGGCCCATACTCAGCTGGTGGGAAGCCAGGTGCCTGGCGTAGAGTGGCGCTGGGGACAGGGAGGGGGTGGGCAGCTCCAAGATGGACCTTTCCTGGGAAGAAGCTCGGGGTTTGGCCCTGCTCCAGGGGCTGCAGGGGCCTCTCTCTGCTGTCTGGGATTCCAATCTCCGCAGCTGGTGCTGAAGACAATAAGACAGAGGCCTCCCCGCCCTGGGCCACCCCGCCCTGGCCCCAGATGGGCTGCGGTTACTGAGGCCCCTGCCAAGACGGTTGGTTCCTTGGGGAGAGGCCTGTGCTGAGCAGGCCCAGGCCAGGGTGGGCCGGGAGCGGGGTGGTCCTGGGGCGCGACATGCAGACTGGAAGGCTGGACCTCGTGGTCCCCTCTCCCCCTTAGGGTTGTCCTATGGAGACAGGCTGGGGCCGCAGAGCCCTGAGGCACAGAGCATCTGTGGGGAGCTCTCCAAGCGCCAGGCTCCAGGGGCCAGAGATGGAAGGACGGCCGCGCCTCATCTCCAGGCCCTCCACCGTGAGCTCAGAGAGGCCGTGAGGATGCCCGGCCGCCACCCAAGCTGCGGGGCTTGAGGCTTGAGACTGCAGAGCCGCGGGGCTCACTTAGCAGAAGAGCTCCAGCCCTGCGCAGGAACGGGGCCCAGGGCTGCAGGCAAGGGAAGAGGGTTTGGGCGGTTCTGCTGCCCCACAGCCTGGCCTCCCGCCTCCCGAAGTCTCTGGGTCTTTAACCCTCCCTTCCATCCCTGGGCCGGGCCCTCCTCCACTCCCATCCCAACGACAGCATTATCTCTGTGTGCTCCCCCGCTGCTCAGCTGTCTTCCCAGATAACCCAGCACCCCCACCGCCGCTCCAGCCCCCACATTCCATCTCCCCCCCACTCTGCTCCTCCTCCCACTTCTGGGACCGGCTGCCCCCTTCCCCTTGCAGTGCCTCCCCAGCCCAACCAGAGCCTGCGGGACATCTCCAGGAGCACCCCTCCACCTGCCGCTCACCAGAGCCCCACCAGGGCTCCCGGCAAACCCCCCACAGTGGCGGCCACGGACACTTTTCCTCACCTTCTCCCCACCCCCTGAAGAAAGAATGGAGCCATATATCTTGATGCCTCCAGTGGGCTTCTCCCCTCCCCCTGGCTTCCCCCCCAGCAAACCCTGGGAGGCTGAGGAAGGAGCGGAAAGACAGAGCTAAGCCTGCAGGAAATTAAACATGAAATGAAAACAAGCTCCTCTGATTCATTCTCTCATCCTGCCCCCCCCCGGCCCCCATTCCAGGCCACTGATAAAGGGGGATCCCGTTTCAGTGGCGCAGAGAGGAGACCCGATCCGCCCTTGGCTCTCAGCGGGCGGCCTGGACCTGGACCCCAGGAGCCCCTGGAGGAAAAGGGGCCCAGGAGGCTCTGGAGCAGGGGCTGAGTGCGTCTCCTACACCAGACTCAAGTCAGGGAGGCGGAATGAGTCTCAAAGCAATGCCAGCCCATGCGTGTGTGCGCGCGTGCGTGTGGCACACGTGCACACACGCATGTATCCTTGGGACCAGGGAGGGAAACTGAGGTGCAGTGCCACACTGGCTCCCTGCCCCCACCCTCCCCACACTAACATGAGTCACACACACCCCAGCTTTTCCTTTTAGCGAAAGACAGCAAGAAAGGTCAGGAGCTATAAATAAACGAGTGTGAAGTACTCTCAAAAACTCTGTGACAGCATTTCTCATCTCTCACCTGCTGTTCTATGAGGCGCCACCCCCGTGAGGACGTCAGTACAGATATTGGCCCCATTTTCCAGACACAGAAACCCAGGTCAGGGGCAATGCCAGGGCTGGAATGGGCGCTCGGGGACGCGGCTCCACTGGAAGCCAGAACAGGCTGAGCAGCCTCTGCGCTACCCTGCGGGGAGCCCTCCCTGCCTCCGGCCCAGCTCCTTCTCCCTCCTCCGAGGATGCTCCGGGCTCTCAGCACGGCTGCTGGCAGGGTGCAGTTGGGGTGTGCCCACTTGCACCTGAGTTCACTGGCAGGGACAAGGCAGCTGACAGAAACCTCTGGCGGCTCCGAGGCCTGCCTTTGACTCCACCTGAAGCCATTTCTGGTCTGGAAGCTGACCCCTCCCCTCCTCACACCCTCTCCCACCTGTCTCTGCCCCCTTCCCCACCCTGCCCCGGCCCCAGATCCCAAGCCACATGCAGGGCTAGCAGGCCCCAAGTCCAGTTCTTGTCCATGAAGCCTGGGAAAGTTCTCAGCCTGTCAGAAGTGTTCCTGCAAAGGAGCCAACAGCCCCCACCCACCCATCAGAGACCACAGCTCACACAGCTGGCTCAGAGACCACCCTCCCCACTCCAGCCAATGCCCCAGCGGCCCCTGCTCAGGGACAGGGGGGTCTTCACTCCTCCTCAGGGTCAGGCCACTCTCTGCACGAGACCTCGCGGTGGCCACCTTTACCAACCACACCAAGAGCAAACCCCCGGGCATCCACGGGTCTTTCTCTCCCACCGCCGGCCAGCTGAGCATTGGGGCCTTCTGGGGTCTCCTGAGCGTGCCCCGCTGTTTCTACGCCCGGGCCCGGCCCTGGTCCTCCCCTCCACGAAGCCATCCCTGAAGGCCTCTGCTGCCACAGGGGGCCCGAGTGGGGAGACTTGCCAACACGAAGGCTGCAGAGAGGACTCAGACAGGTAGGAATTCTGATTCTGGGCCACCAGACAGGCCCCAGGGAACCCTGGAGCTTGTGGAAAATTATGGCCAGACTGTGTGTGCGAGCATCTAGAGAATGATTTTCGAGAGGAGCCGTCACAACTTTTGTCAGGTTCCCCTCAGGAGTCCGTGGCCCAAGGCAGGCCAGGCCACACAGTGCTGGGGTTGGTTAGATGACTGCTAGGATGACCAGTGATGTGACACGTGCGTGCGACACTTGCCTGCTCTGCATTCTAAAGCTTGGAATAACGAAGCCTGGCCCAAGAGCACACTGTGGTTAGTTGGGGTTAAGCTCGCCTTCCCGACCCTCAGCACGGCTCATTCTAGATTGTGAGCCTGGCTAAAGGCTGAGGCAGACCTTTCCTTGCAGCCCCATGGCCCAGACCGTGCGCTGCGATGGGTGGGGGCTCCAGGGAATGAGGTGTACTGTCTGACCCCCTCCCCCCGCGACAACTGCTCTGTCCTGTAGGTCTGGTTCCAGAACCGGAGGGCCAAGTGGAGGAAGAGGGAGCGTTTTGGACAGATGCAGCAGGTTCGAACCCACTTCTCCACTGCCTACGAGCTGCCCCTCCTCACCCGAGCGGAGAACTATGCCCAGGTAAGTCCCAGCCCCGAGTGGCCGGCTCCAGCCCCTCGGGCTCCGGGAATGGGCATCTCAGAGGAGGGCCTAGGCCCCCTCTGATGGGACTCATCAAGCCCGGTGCAGGTGTGTGCCTGTTTGCCCCAGAATGTGGGAGGCCGGGGCCATTTCTGCCTACCCTACGTGCCGGCACAGGCTTGGCTGGGCGTTAGGGAGGGGCAGGCCTGGACAGAGAGGGAGGCTTTCTCCTCTGCCATGTTTGCCCCTTTCGCTGTGGGCATCAGAAGCAAGGCCAGGGCCCCCAGGCCATCAGGAGCCACCCCGATGTCTCCTAGGAAAGCGAAGTCAGGAAAGCTGCAGGGCTTGAGGCAGGAATGTAGCGAACAGGGAGGTCTGAGTCCCGAGACGCGCTGTCGTCCGGCCCCAGACTGTTCTCACTTCAGACAAGCCATGAGCTCTGAGCTTCGGTTTCTTCTGAAAACGACATGATGAAAGTACCCGCCCCAACTCTTTCGTGAGGTTGTTGAAAGGCCGAAATTAGACAACACAGAAGTACTCTGAGGACTAAATAGCCGGTTAAAGGTCCCTCTGCAGCTCTGAGCTCTCCCAGGCGGCTGTGTCCCGACCTGTCCCCCCTTCTGTCCCGTCCCATCAGCCTGGCCCCGTTCTAGGGGCATTGGAGTCTTCATGAGATGCAAAGGGGTGAGAAGTAGTGTGAGCAGTGGCCAACACCAGGGCACTTGCAGAGATGTTTTTCTAGCTGGGTCCACTCCTCACACCCCACAGCCTGCCCGGCAGAGGTGACTGGTCCCTCCCCTCAGAACTCTTGGTGGCCGTAGCAGCATGGCCTCTGCCTTCAGCTCCAAGCCCGGCCCCACCCAGTAGCGAGCCGGTGGCACAGGCCTTCCTGTTTCCTTTAAGACCCCTCCGGGACGTCCTCCCCCCGCCCCCAGACCAGCTCTGCCCCTCCCCCTGCCGGGATCCATGGGGTCAGGGGGTCAGGCCTGGGGTGAGGCTGAGGAATGTGGGGTGTCTCACACACAGGCACATCTCATCCTCAGCTCCTGCTGCATGCTTTCCTCTCTCCCCACCCTCTGTCCTGGGAGGATGAGCCTCCAGCCTGGCTCCTGGGTCTGGGTCTCTGCTGCCTGAGCTCCCTGCTGGAGGGAGTGGGGAAGGGACCAACACAGGGCGGGCTCACCCCTCCCACCTGCAAAACCACATAGCACACGCCTCCTGACAGAGGGGAAGGGAAAGGCCGCTGATTCCCCATCACCCCAGGCAGGAGGAATGTGGTCAGGCCAATCTGCCAGTGGTTCTTGTGGCCATGACAATGCCCTGTGGGACTTGGGGGCTGAGGTTCCCCCCTCATTCGGCTTTCAATGTGAGAGGACTACAAACATGGGTGGGGAGGAGAGCAGGCCAGCAGAAGCTGATTGAGGGCCCCCTGTGATCCCATGCACGGGGCTGAGAGGTCTTGTTTCCTCTGGCCCTGCTCACCCTGGCCCTCCCCAGCCCAGGTCGGCCTCCAGTCCACCCCCACGTGCTGCCTGAGCATCACACACACACACACACACACACACACACACACACACACACACGCCCTGGCCTGTGGGCATCCAGCCTGGCTTCATCCATCCACCCGCGGGCGCTCACCACGTCCTGAGGCAGCCCCTTCCATCCTGAGCCAGTTGTGAAGTCTCGAGGACACAGCCCTTGGAAGCTCAGCCGCTGGTCTTGACACTGGGAGATGAGGCCTCACTGCCCAGCCCTGCCCCCTCCACACCACAACCTGCAAGCCCAGAGCCCACATTCCCAGCGCCAAAGCTCTCTTGAGTTGGGGTCAGCTCCCATTTCTCAGGTTCCTGGGATGCCCCAGGCCTGGCGAGGAGCCACAGGGGAGTAAAGACACAGTTGCTGACCTTCAGGGGCGCAGGGAGGGAAAGTCAGCCCCTGCATCTCAAATTCCGAAGTCAGCTGGCTGAGGCAGGGGCCGCCCTCAGCAGCTTGGCTGTGCCCTGAAGGCAGCCCTGTGACCGGGCCCTTGATGAAGTTCGAAGTTTGGTCCTGAAAACAATTTCTCTCTGCTGGGAGCCAAGCATAAAACCCAAACCCTCCCAGGTCCGGATGGCCATAAAGGCTTTGAGAGGCTCCCGGGTAAACACTCAGGCATGATCTCAGCATTACGAAGGGCTCGTGATCGGGGCGAGGTCGTCTGGGGACAGGTGCCAGCCACCCGCCCGCCACGTGGCCTCTCGCCCGCCTCCCCGCGCACCCCTGCCCCAGCCGGCTCTCCCTTCCCTCTCCCCAGATTCAGAACCCGTCCTGGATCGGCAACAATGGGGCTGCCTCGCCGGTGCCAGCCTGTGTGGTCCCCTGTGACCCGGTGCCCGCCTGCATGTCCCCTCACACCCACCCCCCGGGCTCCGGGGCCAGTGGAGTCACCGACTTCCTGAGCGTCTCCGGGGCTGGCGGCCACGTGGGCCAGACACACATGGGAGGCCTGTTTGGAGCGGCGGGCCTCAGCCCGGGCCTCAACGGCTACGAGCTCAATGGCGAGCCAGACCGCAAGACCTCGAGCATCGCGGCCCTGCGCATGAAGGCCAAGGAGCACAGTGCGGCCATCTCCTGGGCCACATGACAGGGCACCGCTCAGCCCATCCCCATGCCCTCCCCCACCTCGGGGCCCTGGCCACGCCCACGCTCCCCAGGCCCCCAGCCTCCCGTTCGACTTTCCTCTTAGGAACCTGGCCTGGGCCAGGGACCCGGCCCTCAGCACTTTCAGCCACCCCAAGTGTGAGGCCCCATGGGCCACTGGGAGGGAGGGGGCAGCAGGTCCCGCCCGCCCTGGCACCGAGGCCGAGCCCCCGCTCCTGGCTGGAGGCTGTGGAGGAAGCCAGGTGGCCGAGTTTTGCAGCTTTGCATCCATTATAAGCTGAAGACCCTTTCTCCCCACTCCTGCTCTTCTGCCCTGCCCGGTTTGAGGGTTGAGTCAAGGCTAGATTCCCATCCAGACCGAGCAATGGCCACGTGCCGTTACGTCCGTCCTTTCCTCTGCCGTGTGGTCCCCTGGTCACCGGGCCAGTGACTGTGGCTGAAGAACAGAGCTCTGTTCTTCTGAGTCCTGCAGAGTTGGCCTCCTGCCCCTCCCTTCCCCCCCCCGTTGTCCTCCTAAACGCCCACGGAATCTGACCTCCTGGGCCCAAGGCACCCGCCTCACCTCCACCCACCCTGGCCGTGCCCCTGAGCTGGACCCACCTGGAGCGCTGGACAGAACAGGAGAGGGGCTGGAGCTGAAGAATCCTGCTGTCATCCAGCAATGCTGGCGTCTAGGAGAGTGGACTGTCCCTGCGGGGGCTCGTTCCAGCTCCCTTGCCCCCGCAGACTCTGGATCTCAGTGAACACTGCAAGGGGAGGACACAGGCCACCCACAGTACCCACAGTGCTGCAAGAAGAGCTTCTAGAGAGAGGAGGAGCTGCAGGGAGGTGTCCAGGAAGGGACGGGCTCAGGCACTCACTTCCGCTCTCCTGACCGCCTGACACCCCACAACCCGCAGGATGCCTGTTCCAGTGGGCAGGTCTGGGCAGCTTTGTCCTCTAGCCAGCCAGGCCCCTCCAGGAGGACCTGGAGACACTTGTCCCATCCCCCACCCATTCTGGGCGCTTGCCAGGGCTGCTGAGCAGTGTCCTGGCATGGAAGGACTTATACCTCGGAACACACGAGTAGGGCCTGCAGTCATGTTGGCAGAGGGGGTCAAGAGCAGCGTGCGGAATTTGCTAAAGGATGTGCACTCACGCTTGGCCTCTCGGCCCCTACAACCGCCTCAGACTGCCTGTCCCTCGCCAGCCATCCCTGGAGCGGCACCCTACCTGCCCCGAGCCTTCCACGGTGGGTGGGGGCCCCGTGTTCTTCCAGGCGAGGGCAGAGAGAGCCTGCTCTTGCCCTTCGTCCCTAGGGAATCCGAAATCTCAGCCCCCTCTCTCCAGCCTCTAGAAAGGCTGGTGGGCTCCGCTTCGCTGGGTCGCTTGCTCTGTTCCGGATGTGGGGGGCAGGATGCCGTCCAGAAGCCGTTTCCCTGCCTGCAGGAAGGTGCCTCCTTCTGGGGAGGAACTCCATCTCTGCCTGAGTGGAGATGAGCAGCTCGAGTTTTGGCACCAGATCCAGCCGTCACCTAAGCTAGTGGCACACGGTCCCTGTCCTCCAGGGCCGGCCTTTAGAGCCCGAGAGGTCCCTCCAGCAGGCAGCCCCTGGGGACAAGTCAGGGAGGAGGGCCAAGTCCAGCAGGCTTGGAGGCCTGCACACAGGACAGCCTCTTGGCTTGGGTGGAGGGTGAGATCCTCTGCCCTTGAGCCGCTCAAGGCTTAGAAGGAATCACAGTCCCCGCCTCTGCCTTGTGCTCTCATCGGCCCTGGAAACAGGCCTGGGGAAGGATCTGGCTTTGGCCTCCCTTGGTAAGAGTCAGACCTCTTTGTGAACCGTATAGCTCTAACATGGATCTTCTAGAAGTGAAAAGCATCTTGGACATGGAGTTAAATGTTGGTTTTAAATGTTCCATATATCTGAGGATCTTGGAATGATTCTTAGGAAGCCTTTTGCAGTTCTGAGTTTCACCGAAATAACTCAGGCTCCCCAAATCTGGGAAGGGAAAGGAAGAAACACTTAAGGCTGGGAATCATTCCCTGTCTTCCCCTTAAGGGCTCTGGTGGCTGGCAAGGACAAGGGAGGAACCCTCATCACACATGTTCTCACCCTGAAGGGGATCCGTGCAGAGAGATGGAGAACTGGGAGATTCCCCAGAGGAGGCGGGGAGGGAGGAGGCTCTAGGCAGATTCTTCTGGAAGGGACCCCTGGTGCTCAATTCCTCTATCTGGCTGCTTTCTGGCTGCCCTTCCCACCAACAGAGCCAAGTATTTATGATTAAAATGTCGGGGCGAAATGTGCCTGTCAGGCCCACCAGGGTTGGCCCAATACTCGGAGAATCAGAGAACCCAGCGCTGGGAGGGACTTAAAGACCCTCTACTTAGTACGCTCCCTTCACAATGGAGATGAGAAGGTCCCGGCCGAGGCGGGGGGGGGTCCTCTGCCATGTTTGCCCCTTTCGCTGTGGGCATCAGAAGCAAGGCCAGGGCCCCCAGGCCATCAGGAGCCACCCCGATGTCTCCTAGGAAAGC